GGGGGGGAAGGGTTGTTACAGTACGTGCTGGTCATTTGAATAAGAAATGTGTGTATACGTGTCCGGGGGTTGGGGGTAGTCTTCTATTTAGGGCAGGGAAGTCAACAGGGGTGCACTTAAAGTGGACCGAAGGTTCAAGTCGGATGCGTCTACCCTCTCCCCTTTCCCGTTTCCATTAATACAGTGATTCAATTTTCCTCTTTGGGGGTTAGGAAATGGACCCAAAAACCAGCTGAACATCCAACGGTAGACATTAACTTTCCATGGTATTCGGTATATCTCTGTTTTAATGTTATGGGCTCTTATTACGACTAGTGACTCTTTTCCAAGTTTTGGTCACTCTATGCAAGGATTGGGGAATAACTCAAAGAGGATTTGCGTCCTGTCCCTCAAGACAGCCTGAGGGAATTTTGTGAAGGTACCAAACGAAGAAATTAACCAATATCAAGATTAATCCTGCCCAACTTTCTTAACAATGTGGTCGTTGTCATAAATATCATTACCATCATCATCATCATCATCATCATCATCATCATCATCATCATCATCATCATCATCATCATCATCATCATCATCATCATTACCATTATCATCATAACTAAACAGTTTTCCAATATCCTGGATATTTTATTCTTTTAAATTCATTTATCTCTTTTGTTTGTTTGTTGTTTTTTCCCTTGAAGCGTTACAGTTTAGGCCTACAACCATGTTGACACATTTTCTGTGATGTAGAAATATCTGGCACCACATCTGCATTTGTGACAAAACAAACCAAAACCACGCCCTCCCCCCAAAAAAGAAAATAAAAGTGTCATAGTAAACTCCATTTTCATATTGGCAGTCGACTGGCTGATGAAGGAAACTACCAGAGGACACAGAAATGGTATACAGTGGACACCATGGACACAGTTGGACGATCTGGATTTTGCAGACGACTTGGCGCTTCTGTCGCACACTCAAGAACAAATGCAACAAAGACTTCAGTACTGAACAGCCTATCGGCGTCTGTTGGATTGAGGATCCACCCTTGAAAGTCAAAGGTCCTAAGGACAGATGCACAACGAAAGGAGCAGGTCACAATAGAAGGAAATGCACTAGAAAACGTTGAATCCTTCTGCTATCTTGGGGGTATAATTGGCAGAGAGGGGGGAGCAGGTGCTGAAATAAAGTCCCGCATTGGAAAAACACAGGCTGCTTTTATATCTTTGGATAGGAATTTGAAGATCAGAGATATTTCACTTCGAACAAAGCTGAGGATTTTTCAATTCAAATGTGAAGTCGGTCCTGTCGTATGGATGTGAGACATGGAACGCACAACAGAGTTGCATAAAGAGGATCCAGGTCTTCTTGAACAGGTGTCTAAGAAAGTTACTGAGGATCAAATGGACAGACAGGGTCACCAATGTGGAAGTGTTAAGGAAAACAAGACAGATCCGAGTCAGAGATGATGTAGGAAGAAGGCGGTGGCGATGGATTGGACATACTCTCAGGAAGTCAAGCAGCTGCATAACAAAGAAAGTTTTGGATTGGAACCCACAGGGCAAAAGACCATGGGGAAGACCGAGTGGAACCTGGAGAAGAATCACAGAAATCGATGTACAGAAAAGTGTGAAGACATGGAATAACATCAAGAGGCTAGCCCAGGATAGAGAAAGGTGGGAGGTGTTTGTCCGTGGCCTATACCCTGGTGCAGGGTGAGAAAGGCAATGATGATGATGATGAGTAAACTCGATTACGGAATTGGCCGGGGATCTTTCTCTCACCCGCAACTCAGGCTGTTGTTTCTCCTTATTCTTCACAAGCATCAAACCGGCGTCTGCAGTGTAGCGGTTAGGCACTTCGTTGTCGCCCGCAGTAAAACCGAGTTTGATTCCCGAGTGAGAAGACGTTTTTACAGAGTATCTGGGTCTTTCTCCTGGGATATCGTATCCCTCTCAGTCTGGGTTGGCCCTAATAGACAGGGTCGGAGGCCCACCTTTAAATTTCTTTTGTTTTTATTTATTTATTTATATGGTAAGTGTTTTATGGTGCTCGCAACGGCATGATATGAGCACGCGGGACACATTAAACTTCTTTAGTTGGTAGGAAATTTTGAATTTAGCCCCGGTGGCGGCCGAAGCTTACTCTTATTGATTTTGGACCACCAAGGGATCTTTAACGTGTCAACTTGCACATGGGACCTCCGAGCTTTTTCGCCCTTATCCGGGAAGGCTAGGTGTTGAATCTTAGCCACCCGAAGATTATGAGTGTGGCTGAAAGACAGCAGTAAAAAGGAGCCAAGGAGTACAATTCTTTATCACACCAAAGTAAAAGCAAATTACAATGAATAGAGAACACTTGTTGGAGAGTTTTCTACTGCTCTTGTGGAGCATGACAAATTTTTATTTTTTTCTTGCATGCAGCCTCTGTTTTTGAACGAATGGTAGCATTCTTACATCACAGAGTATGCATATGAAATAAATTCAGCACAACAGAAAATCACGCTAATGCATTTCTCTCAAGGAATAAACTTATTGTCACTGTTCTCCCCTCTCTCTCTCACTCTCTCTCTCTCTCTCTCTCTCTCTTTCTCTCTCTCTCTCTCTCTCCAGTGTTTATTCGCATACATCTTGATCTCATTAACATCATCTCTTTCCTCTCTCTCTCTCTCTCTCTCTCTCTCTCTCACACACACATACACACACACACACACACACACACACACACACACACACACACACCCCAACACACACACACACACACACACACACACTGTCTCCCCTCATCTTTCTCTCTCTCACTTTTGCAAGTCTGTACTTACGTCTAACTTTCACTCAAGAAAAAAAAAGTTGCACAATACGTACAAACACACTCATGAAAACATGGTCAAAATAAACTTTCCTTGATAAAAAATGTAAAGGTTGTCATAATCAATCTAATTCAATAAGGAGTAAAAAAACCCATAAGTAATAAGAGTAACACTATTTTGCCCATTTCCCATAGCCTGGCCTGACGCCATATGCATTGATGACTTCCAGAACTTGAGAATGCTTGAATTCATTCCACTCACGTTTTAGCTCTTGCTGCAGGTACTCACTCTGAATGTCCTCCTGGTGGAAAAACAAATAGCATTTGTATAGCACATATCCCCGTTCAACAGAAAGCCTAGAAGAAGAAGAAGAAGGAGGAGGAGGAGGAGGAGGAGGAGGAGGAGGAGGAGGAGGAGGAGGAGGAGGAGGGGGAGGGGGAGGAGGAGGAGGAAGTTGTTAATGTGAGTTCACTATATATGAAAAATCTTAATATATATGGAAGGTTATTCCACCTTTGTTCACAGTCAATTTTGTTATCCAATTTTTCATCACCACAAACTACCTTACTATAAGTACTATAACTGTGCTCTTATGCATCCTTTTTGCATACAATAAACTCAAAACTGAGCCAAAACTAATGCTCCATGCAATGAATATTCAGTTTCATAATGGACAAGATAGATTTACTTGGATTTTTTAAAAAGTTTGTTATGACTGTAAATAACAGAGCTATGCTGGGCAAAGAACTAGATAGCTTGCCGTATATCGAGAGTTAAGAGCTTACCTTTGTGAGGTCACCAAAAGTCCTTGTGTTGGACTGTCTGAAGAGCTGTCGTGTCACCTCATCCAGGGCTGAAGAAGAAAGACAAGCCACACTATTATTTCAGGATATAAAATTTGATGCACTCAATGTTATCCAAGGCCTGCTGACAATGTACAGAAAAGTGGGAAGACATGAAATAATATGAAGAAGCTGACCCAAGATAGGGAAAAGTGGAAAGTGTTTGTTCATGGTCTATACTCTGATCCAGGGTGACAAATGCAATGATGATGATGAAGGCCTGCTGACAAACATAGCTACTTCATAATAAAAACTATGTGGATCTTTCTCTTCCTCCAGAAAGCAATGTTAGTACATTTAAACCTGCTCTAACAGACATCAGTCCAAGACAGTCACTTGTGTGAACGACCACTTCTACGCCCCCCCCTTGCATTTTATATATTATAATGACATTGTCCAAGACGTCAATCTGTCTAACGCCAACCACTTTTCTCCTCGACAATGGGTGGCCATCTTGTACAAAAGAGGAAAAGTGGCTATCTTAAAACAGGTAGCTGTCGTACGCAGTGTCATTATAAAGTAAAAAATAAGCAAGGGAGGAAATGAGAAGTGACTGTTTGTACTGGTGATTGTCTTATACAGGTGAAGCAAGTTCAACTATTTGGTTCACTAACAAATAAATCAACTCTTGAAATATATTTATCAAATAAGGTGTATTGATATTTGTATATTATAAGCAAGGGTAGCCTATACAGTCCATGCCGGCTTTAAGCACGTGCGGAGAAAGCTTAAGCATGCTTAAAGCCGAAGCGTGCTTGAGTGCGAAGTAGACATAATCCAGAGATTTTCATGTAGAAAATTTCCCGTGCTATTTCCCTTTGTTAGTAAGTAGGCCTAAAGCGGTCCCGCAAAAGTGTGCACTGTTATTTTTAACCGCCATGGTAATTTTTGTTTGCTTGTTTGTTTTTGTTTTGTGGTCAAATGGGAAATGAAAACTTAATTTAGACGGCCAGTCACGATACAGCACACTAGGCCTACATACTGCCTGTGCATACCACTGCCCGCTATGCCACGCTCATACCATTACCACTGCCTTCATCCCGCCTCGCGCGTGATACACAATCAGGATTAATGGATAGCGAGGGTCAAAGGTGAAATCACAGCCAACCTCCCTTTCTCGTCTCCCTGACTCTCTTCGTATTTTTTAGTCTGTGTGTAGCTTTGCCCTAGGCTAGATCCTATGTCCATGCGCGCTGCTGCGTGCATCTCTCTGCCTTCCTCTCCGCACGTGTGAGTGTGTGTCTCCATCACTTGCGTTCTCTGTGTTTCTCTTAACACACTTCACTGCTGCAGTGTATACTGTGTTCGAACTTCGATGGGTCATTATAAAAGTACTGACTGTCTTGTAATGAAGCGTGCCTGAAGCCGAAGTTACTGTGCTTAAAGGTGTGTAATTTATATAGCAAAAATTCGGTAAGAGCCGTTTAGCGTGCTTGAGTCCGAAACGTGCTTTAAGCTGGCGTGCTTAAAGCTGGCACGGACTGTATTTAACGATGATAGACTGATTCACTGAATAAAGCTGGAAATTCCACTATACAGGTTGATAATGGCTTTACCAACAGGGATGTTGAAATGTAAACACCCTCCCACTTGGTAGTATATCTGAAATGCACTTTCTGGAAAACGAACACACTGAATCAAATCAGTATTTGAGTCTAATTGAGACCTATAAAAATCGAAATTTTATTGTGTTTGATTCATTTGACCATCTCTCTAATAAGAACACACCTGTACTACTTGTTCAATGTTGACTTACCTGCTAGTTTCTCAGGCCTCACCACCCCCAGCTCCACATCTGAGGCTGTCACAATGGAACAGGTGATTGGTTCATCCAGTAGGAGACTAATCTCAGCAAAAGAATCGTATGGGCCAAGTCGCCCCATCACAACCTGCTTGGTCTTTTGTTCCTGTAAATGAAAGGGAAAAGAAACAATAGCATAAGTAAATAGTCATTTTTTGTGCTAAAATCAATGCCTAACACAGGGATAAGTTATTTTGAAGGTTGAGTAGGCCCACTTGTTCCCTCTATAGCTTAGGAGAAAAATTTTCTAGAATGACCACCAAAAAAACAACAAAAACAACCCAGACCTTGTTCTTGTCAATAAAAACCTAAGCTGCTGCAGCCTCTCACTTGTTAGTATTTCTGAAATATGGACTTCTGGAAAACGAATCTTATGATTACCCACTAAATTAAATCAGAATTTGTGTCTAGCTGAGATCTGCAAAATCAAAATTTGGTGTTTGATTCAAATACCATAAATGGGGCTATGTAATCAATGAAGAGCTGCATTTGAGTTTTACTGTACCTTTTTCCCATTTTTGAGAGTGTTCAGCACATCAACTTGTCTTAGAACATGGCACTCTCCAGAACGGATGAAGCCAACAAATGGTGACTTGTATCCCTCGCTGACCAACACTGAGGACAGATGTATGGACAAATGGTCGTATTCACAAAGACTTGCAACTAAAGTGGTGGGCTCTTTCCATAAGGGAGGGCAGAGAGAGGATTATGTTTTAAGGAAAGGAGACCTGAAACACTTGTCCCAGGCTTAGCATGATAATATTGATGTTTTACATTCTTTACAATTTTATTGTAAATGTTTACTTCCTTATCTGCATGGTTTGAATTGTTAAGAAAGTGGGTTGCTTTAATTTTGCCTGCAGGCGCAAACAAGGTTACCGGAGTAGGCCTATGACATCCTAACAGGAATACTGTGATACTAGACAAAATATTTTCCCCATATGGGATTTGAATTCATGTCTCTTGTGTGGAAAAATAGGAGCCTAACCATTACGTTAATGATGCTGGTAATTATGATTATCATACATGGGGCAATCCTACATTTCAGGCTTTTGGTGTGGGAAGGAATGGGATTACTCACATGTAGTCTAACCACACCAAATAAAATGAAAACCTACAGTCAGCTGCGTTTGAGACAGGTATAGACATAACGCTTGACAATCTTACTTGTCTTTCAAGGTCATCCTTCTCAAAACTTAACAGCGCCATCAGTCTACATGTTACGTAAAAAAATGATTGAATAACAGAGTGTGGAAAGAGTTAAATATGTGAGACATTGTGGTGAAATCAGGTGCTCATCAAAATAGCCTAATGAAATCGAAGAAGCAGGCATTTTTTCCTCCAGTAGGGCACTTTATATCAAATTTTTTTTTTTTGGCTCAACATCTTTGATGTCCATATTAAAAACACATTTCCACATGAATTTTACCAAAAAACATTTGATTATTGGCACAAAATATGTAAATTTTCAGTTTTCAAGGACTCTTAAGCTAGAACTTAACAACCTTTGGCTGCAATTTTCTCACTAAAATAACCTTTGAATTCATGCCACTCTCACCCCTTTCAATCACAAATACCTCGACTTATATTCAAGATAGGTATTTTTTTCATAGACAGCAAGGCAAATGCATAAGCTTTCAGATGATACTAATAACTCCAAATTGACTCGTGTTTGATTTCATCCCATCGAGACACACAATATATCAATGATGATGATGATGATGCTGTTAAGTGCTTAACAGAAACCCCTACCCTGTCGACTTTGTGAATTACTTTGTGGACTTACACACCTGTGTTTGGGGGATAGGAGATCCATTCAATGGAGTCAGCCACAGTGATGAGAGGCTGCTTTGGCCACATTCTGTACTGCTCACAAGACAAAAGCAAGTTGAGCTTTTCTGTGTGTTCTCTTTGTTTGATTTGCTGTAAAAAAAATAATAAAAAAATAAACCAAGGGTCGGAAAACTGAGTTTTTTTCCCGTTCTAGTATTCAACCCAATAAAGGAATGCACTAAACTGCTTTGCACAGTCTAATTTTTTAAGATCATCAAGCAAAATGAGTTTTTCTGTCCAACATAAATTTGAATAGATTGAAGGAAATATATGAATTCTTATGTCTTATCGGTGGCACAAAAAGATTAGAAGAAATCATTGCTCTAGGAAAATTAAAACAAAGAAACAGCTATTGCTAAAATTGCATCTTTGTGGACAATCAAAACCAACAGATAAATATTCGCAACTCTGCTCAAGAATACTTTTGAGAAAATTGAAAATGACAGCGAGTAGCAAGTATTTTAAAACTCCCTATCTACCTACTGGAGTGACTAGTATTACTTTAATATTCATTGAAAAAAAAGATACTCACTGTGATCACCCTCTTGTAGTCATTGACAGAGATTTTGAGAAATTCACAATTTGGCTCTGTGGTCACGACACTCAACTCCCTGCAGGGGCATCAATATACATAAACACCTATAAACATGTATGTTACAAATTATTTATTCCTTAAACAGAATATTGTTTGGTTCAGAACTTTTGTTTGTCACAAGTATACGAAGCATGCTTTAACAGAAGACAAACTGTGGTGCTTTGGCAGGACAGTAGGGCCTACTTTCTTAAACGATAAGTCAAGTAAAGCTCTTTCATTTACATAATTAGTTTGTTTTCCTCTCAGTCATTATGTGTGACTATTTGTATGGCTTTTTTATGTTTTACTATCTATCTGTTAGCCCATCTGCCTGTATGTTTGTCTGCCTTTCTGTAATTCAGGCAAATACCTGATAATCTCTCTACATGTATTTCTCAAAACAAAATGAGATACACTGAGACATACACAACATAAAGGTCAGTCAGCAAGTCGGTAGACTTGTTGATAGTGATAGTAATTCAAAAGATTTTAAAACAGTAAAACTTGATACCAATTATACGATTATGATACCAAAAAGAAGATCAAACATACAGAACACATCTAATTTACAAACAAAAATTCTGCTGTGTGTGTGTGTGTGTGTTTGTGTGTGTGTTTGTGTGTGTGTTTGTGTGTTTGTGTGTGTGCATGTGTGTGTAGGTTTGTGTGTTTGTGTGTGTGTGTGTGTGTGTGTGAGTATGAGTGAGTGTACTGTGTGTGTGTGTGTGTGTGTGTGTGTGAGTGAGTGTGCGTGTGTGCATGTGGGTGTGTGTGTGTGTGAGTGAGTGTGCGTGTGTGTGTGGGTGTGTGTGTGTGTGTGAGTGTGTGTGTGTATGAGTGTGTGTGTGTGTGTGTGCATGCTTAAGTGTAGTGTACCTGTATGTATGCATAGAAAAATTGAAGATGAGGTGACTCACTTTGTGTATGGTTCATCATACTGGAGCCAGGTTCCAAAACAATCTCCCACTGACAGCTGTAAAGGGAACAATTACTTTCATTTAATTCAGCCAATCATTTGTTAAAAAAATAAACAGCAAGGGGAATTGTATGGGCGGCTAAAAGGTGCACCGATGTGTATTCTATGTAAACTATCTTTTTTTGTTCGTTTGTCTTGATTTTTCTCAACACTTGTTGACTGTTAAGGTGTTAACATGCTTCTCTTGAACTCAGGCTTCGGAATTGTGTGGAAAATAAAACCAATGGTGACATCATATTTTCCAGTTTTCTCTGTCAATGATTTTTTTTGCAAAAATTTAGTATGTATTGAATGGACAGGAGTAATTCACAAAGAGTTAGAGCATAATTGGCAGCTCCTTTCATGTAATCATCATTGGCTGACTGAGTAAATGAACTACAGAACATCAAAATGATGTACTCTCCTGTGTGAAGTTGCTCATCATGAATCAAACTTCAGGGTTTACATTATTATCGAGTTGCTATGCATCAGAGGTCTTCTTTAAGCACACATGCAATAATTTGTGGGATCCCAAAAGGCATCTCATAATCTTGTGAGTTCCAATCACCTATCTGTTTACCTTTGTTTCTTCTTGAAATACATACCGGATAGGGAAAAAAAATAATGAAGTAAAATATTGTGTTACTGATGTTGAATTCTTTGCTCAAGTCAGTCTACTGAATGATCATGCAAAAAGAAGAGTGAACCAGTAAAAGCAAACTCATAACCACAAGAACATTCGTTGGCACTAGCATAGGGTCCCATGTAGCCAGTCTGATCTCATGTCATATCTTAGACAGGCAAAAGTTACAGAAGCAAACATCATATTCAGAGGCGATAACAAAATGCTAAAATGTTGTTGCAGCCATCAAAACAAAGCCACAAAGTTGAGTTTGAAAACACCTGAGCTTACTGTTCACATTTAGTGCTATCATCATCAAGTGTCAGATCTGCGACAGACATCCGTGATCATTGGTTTTTCATTCATTCCTTTGCTTGGATGCCCACAAAAAAGCTACACTATCCTGATCTTTCAACATCACCCATCTGTTTAGGCTCTCCAAGTAAGTTACTTTGAGTCTACCTCAGCCTTGTTTACCTTCAAGTGCTATACCTGTGTATAAAACAAAAGCAGCATACTTCTATTTCAACTTTTCAGACTTTTTCAAAGATTCAAATTTAAGAAGGAACATTTAGAAAGAAATGAGAAACATCAACTACTCACTTTAGGCACATAGTCATCATAGTCTTCCAGACCCTCCAAAGGTAGAAATGCCTGAGGGTATAAGTCATCCTTGCCAGAGAACAGGTATGGTTCATATAATGGGATCACACCTCCTTTCAGGATCATATGTATTCCTGTCTTTCCATACACTGTAAAGAAAAAAAAATTAGGCAATAGGCAATGCACATTGATACATGACATCCATCTAATACACGTCTTTACTATTTAAATCTTATTTCTGTTACAGCCTTGAGTTCTTTTCTTTGGTTGGACATAAGTCACACATTATATCTATGATGAATACACATGTTAAATTTGAACACATAAACAAACTCCAAGAAATTTTTCTTCTCTTATTTTCATAAGCTTATCCTTTTATAGAATGGTGCTGCATGCACACACACACATACACATACACACACACACACACACACACACACACAGGAGTAAGAACGCACACAGACAACTACACTACACTATGATGTATGAAGAAGCAAGAAGACTACCAGCAAAGTCAACATCTTTCCAGACTTCAAGCTGGGCAACAACACACAACTCCTTAAGGACGGAAGACTCCACATTTTCTCGAAAGAAGTCAAAAGATTGCAGAATCATGTATATCTTGTCATTTTCTCCAGCTGTTCTCTCAAATGGGCTGTGGAGAGCGAAAAATAGAAAATTATTTGTTATTAAATAAGTATTCTTCTGCATGAAGATCTAAGAACCCAAGCGAGGTACCATTACCAATACTGTGCCCCCTTCAAACACAAACAATATATTTTCTCTCTGTCCCTTTCACTCTTTTTCTTACATTCTTTTATTTTCTCTCTCATTCATTTTCTCTCTCCCTTTCTCTCTCTCTCTCTCTCTCTCTCTCTCTTGGTGTGTGTGTGTCTCTCTCTCTCTCTCTCTCTCTCTCTCTCTCTCTCTCTCTCTCTCTCTCTCGCTCTCTCTCTCTCTCTATATATATATATATATATCCCTATCTCTCTCCCTATCTTATCTTACTCTCTCATGGCTTCTTCCTCACAAATACATAAACATTTTACCACATGCACAACCACCTACAAGCAGGTACTCTAAAATCACCTGTTTTAGCTACAGGTCTTGTAGCATTTGATAGCATAAAAATGCAATACAGTTCAAAGTCAATGTTTAAAAAAAATTGCTAATGAAAGGAGGCATCGTAGCCATATTTACTCTTTTTAGTGATTTGTTTTCCCACCTCACCATAAGGAACCTCTTGGGCTACAAGGCAACTGCCCAATAAAGAAGTCCTGTCTCTATATATAGAGCAGACAGCTTCACCTAAATAGGCTGCGAACTGATCAAAGATTAAGAGGTCACTTAAGTTCTGTTTGGGAACAACAATGAGACAACCACGAAGGAAAGGAGAGAGAGTTTTTTTTTTTCTTTTAAAGAAGAGGTGACACTACAGTAATCGTACAACATGTTAATACATTGAATCTTCATGACACAATGCAAGTGAAATATTTTTTGCTATTTCAAAATATTGTTGCCAAATTTGAAAGAACTATAATTAAAAGTAAGAGTTCTCTCAGTAGCATTCACACATCTCAATCGGAAATGTGCGTTTCTTTTCTTTTCTCCACCAACAGTTCTAATTCTTCCAAAACTTGCAGAAGATAAACTTTGTTCAGACTTGTCGAAAACAAAAGACAAAATGACTTACTATTTCTTCAGCAGCCGTCTGAGAGTTTTGATGTTTTCCGTTCGAATTGCTTTCGGGTCTTCACTTTTCCTTTCCTTATGCAAAAGTGGGAGGTAGTCCTTGATGTTGTAGGTAAACTCATCCACTGTGTACACTTTTCTGGCTGGCTTTTGAATGGGGTCACCTAAGGGAACAAGTAATGATTGTAAATGTTTCAAAACTCTATTGATACAATTTAGATTATAAAGTAGGGGTGCTACTTTCATGCTGCATGTCAAAGCCAACACTGGCTGAATAGAATGCAGCATCTAATCCAAGCCGAAGGGGGGAGAAGATGCTTGATAAAATGTACGAGGTTTGTCTCAGAATAAAGTTTCCCTCCTCCATAAAATCAAAAGTAAGCAATCAATAGCCACTAAATTTTGTGAAGTCATGACATCATGTCTAAGAAACATCAACACCAAATTGCAAATGCATTGGTGAACGGGTCATAGAGCAGTAACATGTCAAGTGTGGTGTTCTTGTGCACGTTGTCCAAGGCAAATTTGAGGAAAATGTCTGAGCAAAACATTGTTGCAACCGTCTCATGCTATGATGTCCGAGTTGTGATCAAATGTTCAACTCTTCTCAGCAAGTCAGCAGTAGAAACCCACGGTGATCTATACAAAGTAATAGGGAATAATGTCCCATCAAATCAGACAGTAAGGAAATGGATCAGGGAGGTTGAAGGTGGGAGGTCCGATATGAAAGATGAAGTGCACACAGAAAACACAGGGAGAGAAAGGTGATGCACATTAGGTTTTTTTTCGACATGAGTGGCATCACAGTGAGCTGGCTAGGCCCACCTGGCGTAACTGTCAATGGTGACTACTACAGGTTCGTCCTCAAAAACAAGCTGAGACCTGCGATCAGGAAAAAAGACCTGCTTTACTTGAAGAAGGCGTCATCTTGCATCATGATAACGCGCATGTTCACAAGTGCAGAGTTGTGCACGAGCTTCTTGAGGGCTACTCGTGGGAATTCTTCAAACACCCGCCCTATTCGTCCGATATCGCCCCATGCAACTTCCACCTATTCCCCAAGGTGAAAGAAATGCTGCGAGGTCGGCGATTTGAGGACGAGGACCAGATTCAAGAGGCTGTGAGAAAAGCACTCAAGGCCTAGGACAAACGATCACTGACCACTGTCTTTGACCGCTGGGTACATTAACTGGAGAAATGTCGGGAACTTGATGATTCCTACGTTGAATAGGTATTTGAATAAGCTTTCTTTTGATACCAAATACAAGGTGATTTATAATTATATGTGAGGACACTATGACTGGGAAACTTTATTCTGAGACAGACCTCGTACTTTACCACTAATCAATTAAACCCACATCTTTTGCGTGCAACTTCAAAGAGCTTAACCATAAATCACCAGTACCCTAAGGAAGAAATTAAAAATAACATGATACGAACAATTCAAAGTCAACATGAACACTTTTTCCAAAAACAGTTGTCTGAAAAAAATGAGTGAGGATAAAGAGTTGTTTTGAGTAAAGCAAGGCATGCAACCACTGAATTTAGGAAACAGGTACACTGAGTTAACTATTTTCATTGAGACTTACTTGTGCTTGTGGCTTGATGGCTAAAACTTGCATCAGAACCTGTGTGTGCACTGGAATAAATAAAAAGACAGTCAAATAAGAAATAAAGAGACTGAACAAAAGTGTGATTAGATTGCTGTTTCTTATACTGAAAGAAATCACATTATCTTGAACTGTACAATAATAACCTACACCAGGTAAAATAATCCCATATTAAATGAACAGAATCTGAGAGGTGATCCACGGCATACTGAAATTAAATTGCATGGAAATAAATCTAAAAATAATAATAAAGCCACAACACAGAGCATGTACCCTGCTGCTTTGATATCTGTAAGTTCTGAGAAAAGTGTCAGTCTCTCACATTGCACAAGTGTATTATTTATAACTTAAAGTTTACTTGTTTACAACTTTTACTACTTCTGTTGCTCCAACATTTGTGTCCAAAATGTAGTATAATAGATACACCCATGATGTACCCCCCCCCCCAAAAAAAAAAAATTAAAAATTAAAAAATGACACACCATCCCTGTAAAACCTGTCCCATTATTCTACAATAAAACTCAAATGATTACTTAAAAACTTATTTCACCTACCCAACAACTCTTTTCTCTGTATGTACTGGAAATCCTATCTTTGCTGGTTTAGGCACAAAGATCTTCCTGTAGTTTTGCATAAAAATCGCATGGGCTTCCTGTGTAGATCCTTTGCCATCTCTGCATAATTTGTAAAAGTTTATTAAGCATTAGTAAAAAAATAAACACTTAAAGATAATGAAATCCAGCATTTAATAAAACTTGTCAGAATTTATTTTCAAATAAAAGTATATTATTCACATCTAAGTCAGAGATTGACGAAGACGAAAAAGCAATTAAACTACCTGAGTGAACAAAATTGTCTCTTAGTAAGCAAATTACTCGAATCCATAACACATGTCCATTCAAATTTCAAAGCACATGTTACTTTTGAAGAAACAGAACAAAATGATTTTTAAAATACATAAATTAAAACAATTTTCAAAAATGTCATGATTTTACAGACCTTGATTTCAATCCGTTGATATTGCTGAGCCATTTCAGTTGATCATAGTCAATTGTTGGTGTCTTTTCTATCTTGGGCACTACAAAAATCACAAAAGAGGGAAAGTAACATAAGAGAATTAGCAAACAGTTAGTGGGTCAGGTTACATAGTTAAAAACAATTACAAAGTTGACGAACATACAACTTTTATTCCTGGTTCCCATAATTCAGTCAAAGAGAAGTGAACATGCATGATAGAAGTAAAGTATAGCAAATGTTCAACTTTGCTTTAACACACAGCTTGTGCTAACAGATCTCGAAAGATCTTTCATATTATGAGACAGCAATCTGTTCATTAAGTGTTGATTTGAACAGTAGTTTCTATTTCTGGTCCTGCAGCTTATGCCCTAAGGACACAATAGTGAATTTTCATTCTAAATTGAATTTGTTTTAGTAGAGGTTTTTACCGCGCTTGCAACTGCATATCAAGGTCATTTGAGCGCCAGAAGGTTAGAGGTATTACAAGCTAGTACCAAACTTAAAAAAGAAGGAGGGGAGATAGGGACGATAGATGTTTGATAGGAAAGATGAAGCAAACCACACCAGAGCACCCACCAACCACCCACTAAATTTAATTACTCCTGTAAAAGCCTAATCAGCCAAGCAAAATAAATGGCCTAAAATATTATGGAAAATCTCATATTTCCAGAGACCAGTCAATCAGCACAGTAAAATTTTTTTTTTTTAAATGGCAACCAAAAAACAAAAACAATACTACACATAAAAAGAAGTAAGAAACAAACAACCACCTGCCCTGTCCCTCCCCCATCCCCCTCCCTGTGGTTTAAAGTTTGCAGCTAACATCAGACTAAACTATGGAGTTCAGGCACGAAAGTTTATTATTAAAATAAGGCGTGTGTACAGTTAAATGGTGAAAGGATATTTCTGAGGACAGGTCTCTTCAAACAAGACTTTTATGGTAGGTAGATATATAGTTCGTGCAATGGGATATCATTCTTATATTCTCATAGCCTTGTTATGTATAGTCTTCCATTATTAACTCATTCGCTACGCCGAGCAGTGGGGGGCAGCGTGGCTAAATAAAAGTCAGTACGCTAAGCCGCCCCCGACGGCTTGAGAACCGATCTTCAATTTTAGCTTAGATTCTATTCCAATCCACATATCCATGTTAAAATAAGGTCATAATATAATGTTGACTTCCGCGTCAAGCGTTTCCACTGAAAATCGGAAATTTAAATTCAGTTTTGAAACGCGATTTCATAGTTTATTCGACTTTGTTTTATCGCGATGCCAAAATTATAGCCCGGACACCAGTCTCAGTAATTTTACACAACAAAATGTATCAATATTTTGCCCACTAAAGAAATGTAGGACTCTTTTTTATAATATTGATACGATTGCCAATGCACTGTTATTGAGAAATCAATACTTTTGAGTGCTAGATCTGGGTCTAGATCTAAATTGTCAAAAATATTTTTTTCTTCCCAAAATCACTACTTTTTGATGAAATTACACAAAAAGTGCCACTCAAAGCATGTATAGATTTATTCCAAATGCAATTCTGAATAATTCCATATAAGATACGAGTGGGTTTTTTTCTGTTTGTGATCGTTTTTTAAGATTCTAAATTGTTTAACTGTTTTTCAATTTCAGATGTTATGATCCAAAGGTACAAATATTATGGAATGTATGTAAATAACTGCAAACTTTTCAATATTTTCTAGTTCTATATTCATTTATGGTTATTTTGATGTATCATTTGACCAGGTGTAAACATATTTATAGAGTTTCACCAAAGATTATTAATTTTTTATTTTCAAATTTTATCTGCATCCAATCAAAATTGTGTTGCATAATCGCCTCTTACAGGATCCAAAGTTGAAAAATACATAAATAAACATTACAGATGTATTCTACAAACCATACTGAAAATATTGGTATATAATACGTTGATTTTATTTGAATTTGTGGCCCCAAGACCTTCTGCCCACTAGTCATCATGTCATTCGCCCTCCAAAAAAAAATTCGTCCACAAGCCGAAAATAATACGTAGTGAATGAGTTAAAACCCAAAATCATTTAATTTCCTTGTAATCTGATTCATTAAAACTGATGATCGGTTCCCTTCATATATATACAGCTTACTTAACCCTATATCCGTATGTCCTATGGCCATTCGATCTGTACCCCCAGGTTGTATTATTCGCATTTTAAAATACTTCTAGAGTGAAGATCTCTTTGAAAGTTTCAGTATTTTTCAAAAAAACATTTTGACAGACTACTTTGCAAAGCGTAGGCCTAGGGCTATGGATCGAATTAACAAGTAAATTTCCTCTTTGGAAAGTGCAATGGTGGCATAGAGTTCCCCACATCATATGGATACAATACTAAAACATGACGTACGAATAGGGTTAACGTAGCTCAATAAATAGTGACTCCATACAGATTCCCTCACTAAGTATACAATAATGTAGAGATTTTTGTGCCAACAGCAAAGGTAATGTTTAGTCTTCTTTTTTCAACTGCAACCACTATACACAAATAATCATAATTATATTCATCATACATGAAGACTGAACAAACTTCATCCTCTTGTAATAGTATTGGCATAGCTTATTTAAAACTGAAAATTGAACTGGACTGCGGCGGGCTCAGGTCATCAATTAATTGCAATTTGTAGTAATAAAGCATAGACTATAGATTTAGATATAAATGTTTTCTCTTTTTTTATTTTGCAAATTGCTTGCTAGACGATCCCTACCCTACAATTCAGAGGTCGTACCAGTAATACCGTAATGTAAAATATGCCATTACTGGTACTGTATGCGGATGGGCTTTCGTAGCGTTGGACAAATGAAATGGTTTGAGACGGTGGGTTCTCATTAGGCTACGACTTACGTTTATTTCTGACATTTGTCGATTCCCTGACATTCCAATTGTATTGCTTTTCTTTCTTGTTGCTTTTCACTAGAGCCATAGTGTAATTTGAAAGCTACTTTGGGCACTTCAAACGAATAGTGGCATTTTAGTTCGTCGAAGATAGCGAAGTTGTTTCAAGTAGGCGCCATATTGTTTACACTCCGTGTCCATGGACTTTTCTTCCATTGGAAGTAACTGAAAAAATCCATAAACACAAAAGAGCTCCTTCGTTGTTTTAGTTGTTAGAATGGATCGTAGTTTGTAGCAACATCGGTACTTATATCTTTAAGAAAATTTTAATTAGGGGGGATTTAAGGGGGGGGGGGGGGGGGGGGGGGGTCCAAAACCCCGAACCGTATACTCAGCTAAGTTTGAGATGTCGCAGAGGTCTTGTAAATCTTTAAGTTTTAGGCCACATCATTGCACAGGTACTCAATAACGTCATATTATTACTTTTACTATTATTATTATTACATTATCATTATCATTGTAATATCATTATTATTATTATTATTATTACTAGCTGGACCTCTTTCGTTGAAAGGAATGATCGGTGCAATAACATCAACTGAAAGTCATTGGCCTACTATATTTACACTCTACTTGAGTGGTGCAATAAATCCTGAGAGATGTAAAAAATTAGGTTTAGAAATAGTGATGTAACTGATTCTCTATTCCACTTTTGTGGTTGCACACTCCAGAATTTCAAAGGTGTAGAAACAGTGCGCAAGGCTATTGAACGGAAACGTCACTTGTTTACAATGGTGTCTTAGAAGATGGACTTTCCTAAGATTAGATCTAAACAAAACTAATGAAAAACTGAAAATTTAACTACAGTGACTTCAGGCTCCTCGATAGAACTGTGCACCCATTAAATGATTCTGAACCACCATTAATTTTGTCAAATTTGAAAGTTAAGTAGTTCCGAAGTTTTAGGCGCCCAAAGTGATGAACTTCCACAAATAAAATATGCATAGATTATTATTATTATTATTATTATTATTATTATCATTATCATCATCATCATCATCATCATCATTCTCTCTATGGGCGCAACTAAAGTTTGAAAAGAATTTCATCTTTAGCTACAATATAATCCAGCAAACTTATCATCTTATGCAACATAGATCAGCTAAGTTGCACAAATTTAAAAATGATTTTTAAAGTTTTGTTTTAGTTTTAGAGCACTTAGCACTTGTAACACAAATAGGTTAATAATGAGTTCCAAATACATGTATTAGAGATGTTACTAGAGAGTAACATATGAGAAAAGGAGGAGAGACAAGAATGATAGGTGTTTAACCAGAAAGAAGGAGCAAATCACACCAAAGCGTCTGCCAATCACACATTTGAAAATAAAAAGTACAAAAAAATTTACCCCACATTAAGATTATTTAAGACAGAACTGCTCTTCATTCTTTCCCCTTCTTTCTTTTTCTTTTTAATTTGAGATTGATGTTTATTATTATACCATGGACATTTTTGTAATGTAGGTGTTTTCACGCCCACATCGAAACAATTTAGATCATTTAGGATGTGGGGCTTCTGAACCTGCCTGTCAGGGCCAACTACTTGGGCTGAGAGGGATACAACATCTCAGCAGAAACAGAGATACTTGATAAAAATTACTCCCCACTCGGGTGTTCTGTGTGTAACAGCGAAGTGCCTCACTGCTATACAACGGATGCTGATATGGACAATTTTCAAATATGAAAAAGAGATATTAATAAAGAGAGCAAAGTATGTAAGTATGGGTTTAATGCTCTTGTCAACACTGTCTGTACTATCAGTTTATTTAAGAGGCAGGACCACTGATTTTAACGTCCTTCTCGGAATAGGTTGAAAGCCTTGAAAACTTCACAAAACGACCTGGACTAAAGAGCACCCATTTGGGATTCAAACCAGGGCCATCTGCTCCATAGTCAAGCATGATGCCAACTGAGCTAACTGAGTGCCCTATACTATAATTGAGAATGTTTGTCTTTATATCCAACCAAATCTTTAAGGAATATATATATTTATATATATATATGTGTGTACTGTCCTCTATTTTGGCAGCAGCCTAGTAAAAGAAAGACTGGCCAACAAGAAAAGAAAAGTTGAGAAAACAAAAAACACCCATCTTTTCATTGGATCTCAAATCAGAAGGATCTATCAGTAATGATATCACTTGTTTAATAAAGCTAAAAATGCCTAACGCATTGTGTGTTGAAAAAACCTATGGATGATGTCGACGACCTCTTTGATCTAAAGAAGCAGCAGTAGTTAAAGACCATTCTCAAAATTGTCATTGTATTTAGGCACTGATTTAACATGAAATAAGGATTGGGACTTGTAATTAAAAAGTTGTGGGTTTGATCCCCATACTGGATGTATTTTCAGGAAAAAAAAGTTGAAATTGTCCAACGCAGCCATCCATTGTCAAGGAGAAAAGTGGTTGTCTTTAGACAGGTGGATTTCTTGGACATTGTCATCAAAATACACGTATAATATACATTTTTAAAAAGCAAGGGATAAAATGGAATCTGATAGTTTGTACTAATTGTACAGGTGATTGTCTTGTTTAGTTTTAGTAAGAGTTTTACGGTACTTGCAACACAATAAGGTCATATAAGTGCCGAAGAATAGATGTGTTACAAGAGAGTAACAAACATAAAAAAGAAGGAGGGGAGATAAAGACGATAGTTGTTTGATAGGAAAGAAGCAAACCACACCAGAGCACCCGCCAACCACCCACTGATTGTCTTGGATAGGTGGCCATTAGAGTAGGTCTGACTTGACTACACTTTATTTTTCACAGGTCCAGCAGCAGTAACTAGGTAACTAATCGATAGACAGACAATGCGAAAGAGAGGAGTGTTCTGTTTAATGATTGAACAAAATGCTGTATATATACTGCTCGCATTGAGTATGAGAAGATAATTGGAATGGTCTGGTTGGCCTACCGAATTACTTTTAAGTTGTGAAATCTTTCCATTTGCAGAAAATAACTATTCTACACGCATGCGCGGCATGCACTGTACCGTACTTTCAAAAATGAGTCAACAAGACAGAAGGAAAAAGGAGTCTGAATAAAGAATAATTACCCTCAACATTACCCACATACCCTATCTGCAAGAATTGTTTTAGTAGAGGTTTTACGGCCCTCGCAACTGCATACGGTCATATGAGCGCCAGAAGATTAGAGGTGTCACAAGAGAGTAACAAACATGAAAAAAGAAAAAGAGGAGATAAGAACGATAGATGTTTGATAGGAAAGAAGGAGCAAACCACACCAGAGCACCCGCCAACCACCCACATCTGCAAGAATGAAAAGACAACAACTGAAGTACGAAACAACTACTTTTCTGAGTGAAAAAATGTAACATTTATTGTACAACTGGAACATTTGCCAGAACAATACACAAATGGTTATATACACAAGTTGAAAATGAACTTGCTCAAACATATTTTGTAATTTTCAACAACACATCATCCAAAACAGGATTCAATCAACAAAGAAATGTCAAGGTCAGATGAATCTTATGATTTGGCTGGACAAACTCAACTGCCATGACAAATTACTTTAGAAGATTCTTCCTTAAACATGTACAGCATACAAGTACCAGGCCATATATTCTCACAAGAGCTCCTAGGAAAGTACAGCTACTCACAAAACTTGATTCTTTCGTTGCTCAGAACATAATCGGATTATCCTGCATCCAACACTATTATGTAAAGCTTTATTTACAACTATACTAAAAAACATCCTCACACAAAAAAACAAAATCATGAAAAGAACCCAGACCTCAGCTATGACAAATTAATCTGTTCTAATAGAAAAGGTAAATGCCTAACCAAATTTTTCCATCACAGAGATTTCTAACACATAAAACAAATGTTGTCATCTTGAACAAAATCCAGTGTAGATCTTTTCTCCCAAAACAGTGAAGAAATTTCCCGCTAACTGTTTATGAAAAAAAATAAGCCAGTGCGAAAAGTATTGCTCATACTATGCCACGACAGCTGCAAAAAGCAAATGCATAAGGTCAGATCTGATTTCTGTGGCCACAAGCAAGAGATCATGGGTTCTACTCTGAGCTGTGCTGACTGCAACAAGTCTTGCCCAGTCTGTGATTGAATCATCTGTCCTGTCTCAGACTGGAAACTGGGACAAGTGCTTTAGCTTGTGGCCTTAGGACTCCTCACAGACTTTCCTCTTTACATTCCTCAAACTCAAACACACAAGGTAGATGTACAAGGAACATGACACAACACATTGCAGGCAAGAGTTCCTTTTTTACAGTATCAAAAAAACTTCCTCCTCTTTTTCAAGAAATATGGACTTAAATAATGTTGTCACCATTAACTGAGACGTTGGAGGTGGCTGATGTTGAAGTATTTGAATGTCGTTACTGGAGTTAAAGGAGGTCACAGTCAATTCTTAAAACAGGAGCAGAAATCAAAGACACAAAGAAATATATGAGCTTGACATTGACAAGAGGACTGTAGCGTTTGTGTGTGTGTGTGTGAGAAAGTTTAGTAGTGGTTTTACGGCTCTCGCACCTGCATAAGGTCATATGAGCACCAGAATATTAGAGGTGTTACAAGAGAGTAAAAAACATAAAAAAGAAGGCGGGGAGATAAGAATGATAGATGTTTGATAGGAAAGAAGGAGCAAACTACACCAGAGCACCCGCCAACCACACGCAGGAAAAAAGGCCGGGGAGAGAAGGAGGCTACACAAGCAAAGATGGGATGAGTTGAATTTCAAAAGCATTATCGATTAATGAAGAGACAAGGAACAGAATAAATGATACCAAAGTAACAGCTGCCCCTATCTAAGATGACAAGATGAAGGAGAGATGAGAAAGAGCAAAGTCTTGAGACTCAACAAGACAAAACACAAAAACTTTATGAACTTGCACATATGAGAACTGTCTGGCAGAAACAATAATTATACTGACATATCTCTTTCAAGACAACTGACAGTGTGGAAAAGCAGGAGAAATTTATAAATCATTTTCTCAACTCTTAATAGTGATTCATTTTGCATGGGGTAAATACCCAAAAAAATCTGCAATCTAATATATTCTAAAGTCCAGAATTATATGAGAAATGCACTTACAAACACATTCCCAACAGAGGAGACAGCTGCTCATCAAGAGTAGAAGCAGGAAACAAGAAATAACTTATGACCTCTGTGTCATACACAACTAGATACTAAGAATACAGGACTAGACAGAAGGTGAACTATAACTGCTGAATACTTCAATCTTTCTATTGTTTACAAGTATTAGGCTATTTACTGTATACTAGCACTAGGCTTCACCCCAGCAAAATGAAATTGGTTGCGGAAACAAGATTAATATGAGAGGAAAATAACTCCCCAATGTCTGGTACTAGAGCACATTATGCTTGAATGTACTCTCTTGAACCAAACATCTCATTCAAGACTACAAGCAGTGCCCAAAGTCATGTCTAGAAGACTTCATCATATAAGTTTTTCTTAAAATGAAAAACTGCCAGTCCTTGATGCTGCTTGCACTGTGTCATCATCGTTCAAATAAATAACTCCATTTGACCCGCCTTTCCATTTACAAAACAATGGGAGTTGCTTATTTTCCCTTGCTTCAGTGATATATCTGAATTTGTAGTAAACAGGTGAGGTGACAAAGAGTTCACAAAATTAAAACAATTACAAATCTTGTGGGTTTTTATTTTTAGCAAGTAGTAAAAAACCCTGTTTATGCATAAGGCATAAAAAGAGGAATAAGTGGCATTATGGAATTACCATCTCGGATCTCCACCTCTCAAACAAGACATTATCATTACCGACTTTCTGGACACTTCTGTTACACCACATAACAAAAACAAACAGATTGTTAAAAAAAAAGGCTTTTGCAACAAGATTTATTTCACTAGACTCTGTCACTGTACTCAGACTGTCTGGGAAGGTGCTGGAGATTCATTACTAGAGTATGTGTACACATATGTCTGTGTGTGTGTATGTGTGTCAGCATAAAAATGAGAGTCCATAACAGAGTCTATCTTCTTGACTTTACGTTATTGTATCTTATCCTACGGGAAGGCTTTAGCAAAGACCACTTGGAAAGGACATGAAAATTCAGCTCTAGTTCCTCCAGACATCACGTCAGGAGGGAGTTTGCAGCCATGGCAAGCATCCTGATAGCCTTGATCTTCTTGCTGTCTCCATTGTGGGCCTTTGTGGAGCCCAGCCGTTGGACTAGAGCACCCAGCACTCCAGGAATGTGCTCTGCTGTCATTGGCTGATTCAGATCCAGGTTCAGAACTGCTTCTTCCAAGAATCTAAAGGGAAAATACAACACAGACCAGTCAGACTTTGTAGCAAGACAGTATGACTAGCATATGTACTTTTACTATGGTTCTGCTCTCAACAAACTGCATAAGGCTATGACAATAATAAGAACAGAAGTAGTAGAAAAAACAGTAAAAACAATAATTATTTTTATAAGTCTGTTTATACAGCATTTATTTCCCAGTGTGGTCCTATGTATGAGACTTTTCAAAACCAAAACAAGATCGTTCCATAATAGCATACCAATGAAAAAACACATATGTTGGCCTCCACACACTACCTTGCACATACCGCTGAACCTGTCGAAGACAACCATCTATCGTTGAGGAGAAAATGGGTCACTTGAGAAAAGTGGTCCTCTTGACAAAAAAAAATTTGTCTGCGCCATACATATTCACCACCAAGGGTGCACCACATGAGCCATAATTGTTCCCCAAAAACTAAGAATGGTTACTTACTTCATTTTGAGATCAAAGTTTTTGTCCAAGCTGGCAGAGAGTTGGCTGATCAGCGACAGCAGTACAGGCTGGGTGAGAGGGAGAGGATCTTGGGAGAAAATGTTGAGAGGGTGGGCACTCTCGCAGACAAACATAACAAGCTCCAGGTTACTCGCTGACAGGGCCTACGAGAGGAAGGAAAACAAATGATTAACCTCTAAGCAAATATTCACAAATATACATGAACCTACAAAAAGCCTGACAGTATTTCTTGAAAGAATGCTCTAGACAATCTAAACTGAACTTTTGACAATCTCAATAGAAAAAATGGAGGAAAAAACCAAACGATTTGGTAATAACAGATAGTATTTGTATAGCACCAGTTCCCGCTCAACAGCAAGCTCTGTGCATTTTACTATCTATACTATTATTATCCCATCAACTTCCTGGAAGCTCTTAGCAGATATTCACAAATATAAATAAACCCACAAAAAGCCCTACAATATCCCCCCCCCAAAAAAACAACAACAAACAAACAAACAACAACAAACGCTTTTGACAAGCTCAGTTTATTTTCAGACCAATGTTTTGTTGGCGAACACAATGAAATCCTTATGACTGTACATCAGGGCTGCCTACCTCAAAGTTCCCATTTCAGGTAGATTCAGGGTCATTTTCAGGTAGATTGGCCCAAAATCAGGTAGTACAAAGACAAAGGAAAAAAAAAATGATCGTTGCCCCATCAAACGTGTTTGCTTTCCGAGATATTGGGTAATTATATTTTGAAAATGTGTTTGTGCATGCACATGTGTGTGTGTATGTGTGTGTGTGTCTGTGTGCATGTTGCCATGCTCTCGCATGTGTTTATATATGTGCGTGGGGAAGGAAGGGGGTGTATGGGTGTGCACAAGTTACGATGAACAGTGTGTATGAAATGAGGCGAGGTTGCTGTTTTTTCAAATCATTTTATGGACTATCGTTCAAGGCACCTATCATTCAGTATTGAATCCGGAATTGAGTGCAGGGTGACTGCCAAACTGACTTCCAAACCCCTAGCCCATACCAATAGAAACTATATTAAAACATATTTCCCGTCACTAGCATAGGACACTGTTAAGTCCTTCGTGACTTAGGTATGACAGACAATTAATTTTAATTAGTTTTACCCTAAAAATACAAAATGAATCCTGATCTGGGCCCGAGGAGAGGCAAGAAGAACATCAACTGCCAAAACCATGTTTGGTTTCAGCAATCACAGATTTTAAAAAGCATGCAAGACTAAACTTATTTATAAAACCTTTATAGTTAGGCTCACGGCAGTGTAAGAAGTGAAAATAAAAGAGAGCGTGTATCGAGAGCCGGAGCTGGAAGGACTGTGAGAGCGTGGGATGTAGTGATGCTGAAAACCTGGAATTAGTGAATCACTGCATCATGGACTAAGTATTGATTTTTTTCAAAATGCTAAATCACAGTACCAGTATTTAATCAGCAACAAGCCATCATGATGCATAGGCATCCAACATAGAGCTTTCCGAGGGTTGAAAATGGCATTTCCTCATTGCCACTACTCAATTTGTCATCACTGACAAATCCGGGAACACCAACCTTGAAGATACAATCATCAAGCCTGTGCTCTGATGTTCCCTCATTTACGCACTCGATTGTCGAATGTCAAAACCACTTCCACTTATCGTTTTTATTTTAGCATCAGTTTCTTGCACTGTGGCCTTTCCCTGCAGCCGTAGACCTTATTGCGTCAAACGCCTCCCCTCAATTACGAAGCCCTGCAATGCTCCTTCTTTGAATGAACTTTGATTATGCTTTCTCTAACAACCACCGGCCGGTCCCTTACTCACACCGTATTCACAAACTCTCAAAGGTTCATTGACCGGTCACGATGACGGGCCCGACAATCGAGAAATTGGAGGCAGCGTGTTTTCTTTTTCTCCCTTTTTTTGTCACTATAGTGACATCAGTGAGAATATCGATTTAATTTTTATGGCTACACTGTGTTTTTTATGCACAAACTGCAGGTTACAAATTTTTATTAACTGCAAATCTAACGTTAACGAACTATCATCGGTCAATTCTGAGCGGTAACGAAAGCGAAAGTAGATTTTGATTTTCCCGATGGAGTCTCAGTATTACACCTACACTTCCGCCTGCCGCCATAGCCGCTCATTCGCGCGAAACGTACTCTCGGACTGGGGAAAGCCGAACGTAATATCACAAACGCGATCGGTAAAATATGAACTCGGTAGGCTTTTCAGATTTGGTTTCGAGGACTTTGTGCATTTTCGCGGGTCAAGGCGAGTTTTTTCTTCTTCAGATTCCCGGGTAATAAATTCCCGCAGCCCCCTTGTGTAGAATCCTCATTTGGTACTGACCAATTCTCTAGACCAAGACAGATTTTAGAATGTTTTGCTTCGATACCGATTTTCCTTGTACATTCACAATTCTGTTTTCTAGGTAAATGAATTAAGTGCACAGATTTTCCAGCCGCAGCAAAAAACTGAAGATGGACAGAAAGAAAGAATGAATGAGAAGAAGGAGGGAGATTATCTATCGTGAGTAGAGAGTTTTCAGCCGATATGCACGTGAAGAACTATTGCCGACCGAACGGTACAGATAGACAATGGTCGAGAGTACGAAATGTGCAATCTGGCAGTTTCTAATACAACTTATTGCCAGGAGTTGCAGTAAATATCTGACAAGTTACGGAGGAAAGTGCTGATCTCTCTCTCTATCTCTCTCTCAATGCATGGAGTTGATATGAAGATGCGACAAGTACGGAACTTTCGGAATGTACAGATTTCCGTAAAAACAAAGAAGAACGGAAGCACTGCAGAATGGGTTTAAAAAAAATTCTCTTGGCACCCATCGCAAATCCGGTACTTTTGACACCTTATCGGTATGTCGGTAGAACAGGCCCAAAATCGGTATCTACCGGAAAAATCGGTAGATTTAGGCAGCCCTGCTGTACATTGAGCTACTTACACTCTGAAACGCCTCGTTGATTCTGCCAGATTTCAGCTCTCTCATAATCCTTTCTTTGCTGAGCTCCTCTTCTGAGGTAAAAGAGACAGGAGTTGCTGCCCCAGAGCGTAGATAAGTGGTGAGCTTGTCACTAATGCTAGCCCCGTGTTCCTGCAGAGCTGTGGTCACCTCCTCTTTCATTACTTTACGGACGTCAGACACAATCTCGCTCTTTACACTGGATTTTCAGAAAAGGGGGGAGTCAAAGGGTAGAAATAAGGTATGTGAAGTGAACAAAACACTTTCATCAACTGGTAGTAAGTCATTTTTCAAGGCTTCAATAAAGCCACATGTAGTAAAGGTATGGAAGCAAAGAATACTGCAACATAATTACATTAAATCAGCTGTCACATAATTTTAGATTAAAATTATTATTTTTATTATAGTAGAGGGTTTTACGGCGCTCGCAACTGCATAAGGTCATATGAGCACCAAGGGGTGGGTGTCAACAGAGAAGTCTTTACAGGGAATCAGACTTACTCTGCTCACCTCTCTAGCTTCAACAGCACAAGGTCTACTTCAACTTTCAAGGCACCCCGGAAATAGCGTGTCACAAGAGTGTGACAAACATACAAAAGAAGTAGAGGAAAATGACAATAGTAAGGGTTAGGAAAGAAAAAGCAGCAGTTCCAGTTCCCTGTTGTAGATCAGGCACAGTTATGAGCGTGACATGAATCAGCCCATTTACAATTCTACTGCTCTTGAACGAGAAATGTCCTCCCTTTGGGAATGGCCTAAAGACACTACAGTCAGTGGCACTGCCCCGGGGGTAGATCAAAATTAAAGTAAAGCCAATTTTGCAAACTAGGAAAAAACAATGTATATTAATTTCGAAATGAATGATATTGTGAGGGTTTTGCATAGGTGAGAAGCTATGGTAAACAGTTACAAAAACTTCTTCAGTCTCAACGGGATATGACATAATGATTAACTCTCAATGTTAGCATTATTATTGTATACAAAGATTGTATACTGAAAGAAGGTTCACTTCCAAACAAAGCATCCATGGTAATCAATATTATAGATGCTGCCATACGCACTGATGAAAACACTTGTATTGTTTCTCAAAGAGACTCTTTTAAAATAATCTTTGCTCTTACTCTAGGCATAAATTTCTATATCACTGTTTAAATCACAAGCTGCCACATCCGAAATACTTTTGGAAAAATTGATAGCTGCCATAATTGAAACCCCTCTGTCATGGGACTGATCTTAAAGATAATTTAACTGTTGGCCTTTACGAGTCGATTGAGCATAGAGTAACAATAACGTAACAAATCTCCCCCCCCCCCCCAAGATTAACCAAAATGTACTTTGGCACAATGGCGAATGAACTTTGCAACATTTAGAACTGATGGACCCATATTATATCAATGGGCTGGGTCATATCTAGTGCTGAAATAAATGACAGCAATGCAGACTCAAGTTATGTGTAGAAGGCATCAAGGATTATTTTCAGTGGACTTAGCAATCTAGATCTGGCAGCTTGATTGAAAAATTATTTTCTTTCAAATTTTAAAACGTTTGCAAAAAAACATTTAAAAAATTAGCTATTCAATATTTTTAGAAATTTCTTTTGCAATAAGCAGTATGTTATATTGCCTTTTTGCATGCCAAGTTTCACTGTTGGTTTGTGAATAGTAAGGTCACAAAGATTTTTTTAAATACGCGCCAAATCGCCTGCCATTCTTCGTATGTTGAGCCATTAAGTGCCTGGCAGGGAAAGAGTAAAAAATAGTAGGCCTACTCTATGAGCAATAATAATGAAGTTCAAACTGGTGTTTTTTAGGACTTGTTTTTCCAAGCATCACAAACATAAGTGACTCATCTCGTACAAAACAACCTTGGGCATATTACCTGAAATAACAATTACATATAGCAACACAAGAACCTGTCTAATCATTACATCGAAACAAGATGATGAGATATGAACACTTCAAATTTTTCACTGAAACAGCCTTCATCTTGCAGCAAATAAAAAAGCAGATGATCACAACTAGCGGCAACATACCGCCCCCTGACCCAAACCCCACCCTACAACATCCCCTAGCTCTCACCTGCTGACTGCTTGCGTCACCTGGCCAGCCAGTTCCTCTTTGACGCTGCTGAGCACTAGACTCTTCATGTGCTGAACGCTTTCCAGGAACTGGTGTTCGGCCTCTTCTATCCTCTGCACAATGTCGTCACTTGCTGCCCGCTCACGCACCATCTGTTCCACATTCTGACGCATATACAACTGGTCTGTGGGAGGCGGAAAAAAAATGAAAGTTATAACTTCCATAACAAAAAAAGAAACTTAACTACAATAAATATACTGATCTAATGGCACACATAGAATATATCTCTCTCTATTCTATATTTCTTGAGAATATCATGCTTGGATCACATATATTGCCCAACCATGGAGGGTTGGTCCTTTGAAAAAAGAAAGCGATCGGCTCTAAGAAAACGAACAAAGGGAAGACATTGACCAACAGTAATATAGCATTCGTATCTATCATATCTACAAACAAACATGGAAGATCCTCTACGCTTTACATCTGAACAGGAAAATTGAAAGAATCAACCCCCCCCCCCCCTTTTTCATCCTATAGCCACAAGAGAAAAAAATTTATTTGCTTTACTGCTTGAGCCAAAGAGAAAGATGATAACATCATGACAGTATAGTGGAAGAGAGAGAGAGAGAGAGAGCACAGGAACAACTTACATTCTTTGGTTCCTTGCTGAAAGACTCCGTGCACATCTCGGACGGTTTTCTCCATGGTTGCCTTGAAAGAGGGCAACATAGCAGACTGGAAGGTATCTGTGTAGGCCTGCTGCATTTGCTGGTAGATAACATCTCCCACAGACGACGCTAACACATCCATTGTGGACTGTAGGAAAGATGAGCAGTGTTAACAAAACCACAAAGGGAGGTAGATCAGCATATCTTTGATTTAGTGAGTTTTACGGCACTTGCAATACAAATTATTTGTTGTTTTATGAAGTTCACCTCACAGTTTACTTGCTGACAGAAAACATACACAAAGTCTAGATGATTACGACTACATTCAGAAAAAACTGACTACCTTCATATTTACATTAAAAAGAAATAGAAGGAGCAAACATCACAAGAGCAACAATCTGCCATTTTCATTGGCAACAAGTTTATAAATAAACTGCACAATTAAAAAAACAACTCACTCTAGACTTGACTGCCTTGGAAATATTGTCCTTGAGTAAGGAGTCACAAGCTGTTAGTCTTTGGGCTACTTCCTGATGGATTTTCTCCTTCAGTGGCTCCACAAACCTGTGCAAAGCTGGATGGGGAAAAAAAGGGGGGAAGAGTTTAAGAAATCCACACCACTGGACTATTTTGAGTGAAAAGGAACAGCTGTCAAGCAATTCAGCTTCCAGACACATTTTGTCAATGACGAGCATGCATGCAGAATTAATTCTCCTCATGTGATCACCTCCCCCTCCCCCCCTTTCATACAGCCCTTTCCACAAACCCTAAAACCAATTATCCACACTGATGTAACTTCACTCATTTACCACAGAAAACTTAGACAAGAAAGTGAAATGATAGATATAATACAGTGATGCTCCCAAAAACAAAAGAAACTGTTGTCCTTCAAACAATATGTAGCTTGAGTCCAGAAAACATTTTTATGGAAAGTCATCTATCTACCAGAGCACCCACTAGCCATCTGCGCTTTATGTAAGGAAGGAAAAAAAAAAAAATCATTACTGACTAAAGCCACCTCCCACCAACCCCCCCCCCCCCCCAACCCCCAAAATAGACAACAGCAGAAATAAGCACTGAATACAAATGTCTTATAACTCATACAATTCATTATGATAGCAAAATTTTTCAAAAACTACTGCTGCTGCACAAGGCACAACTCCCCAGTCTCGCTGCAACTCTTAGACTGTCATACAGTTATAAACAAAAAGAAAAGTTTTGAGATTATATACCTCCTTTGAGATGGGCTGTTGTTTACATAATCATTTCACAGAAAACAAAATTTTAGCAATAATCCTACAACAATGAAGAATGCATTTTTCTAAATGATAAATGTTTTTAAAAAATAAGAAGAAGAATAGTATTCTGTACAACACAGCACTGAGTTTTTAAAAGTTTTTGTAGAGGTTTTACGGCACTCGCAACTGAATAAGGACATATGAGCGCCAGAAGATTAGAGGTGTTACAAGAGAGTAACAAACATAAAAAAGAAGAAGGGGAGATAAGGACGATAGATGTTTGACAGGAAAAAAGAAGAAAACCACACCAGAGCACCTGCCAACCACCCACTGCAAGCACTAGAAGCATAGATTATAACAGAGAAGATACAGTGATGGTGCACTTTATGAGCATACCTGGGTTGACAGTCTGCTTTATCTCTGTCCTGAGTGTGTTCCCAACTGTGTCTTTCACAGCTCTCGAGACATCATTCACGACGGCCATTTGCAAAGCTTCATCCCTCGTCTTCCTTTGAGCATCATTCTTTTTCAGAGAGTCTTGCAATCTCTGAGGTACTTTAGAATTAAGGAAGTAACTATTCCCTTTCACAGCTTTGGGGTATTAGCTTAAAAGACAAGGCTAAGTTATGTAAAATAAAATATTGATAAATAACCACAACTATCACAGAGTGCTTATTAAATAAGAAAGGAACATTATTACATAGTTGGTTACAGGGAACCTACATTACTCAGGAAAATGTTACACAGTAAAAAAGACAACTATTATTTCTACAAGTTCTGTTTGGGAAAACATCTTTCTGCAGATGCCATCACATATCTTTTTTATACACAATGCAACGGCACCATGACTTGTTGTGTAGTACGTATTTATATCAAAGAAAAACATAAAAACATGCACTGAACGTCAACCTATGAAGGGTTACTTTCATTATCTTCACAGGCAAAAGTAAAATATTTTCATGTTTTCGCTATACCGCCTACAGCGAAGTCATTGAGGACGCCTAAAATTTTGCAACAGATATACCTTTTTCCAAGTACACATGTAGTTGTAAATTAATTATAATGATTGACACTCGCGAGGCTCTCATACCATGTATACAACTGCAACAAAACACCAATCATTTATCAACGCTTCTTTCCTTCCTATGGGACTAACTTTACTAGAGCTGGCACATATGAAGAAAGAAAGAAAGAGACCAATTAAAAGGCAATGTTAACATTATACTGCAGTACTTGTAATCCACAGGATAAAAATATTAATAACCCAACTTATGAGAACAACATAACGAATGAATGTTTCGAAAAAAAACAACCCAGCTGCCCAACTTTCAAGGATATTTTCTCTCTGCATGTGCTGCGCCAGAGAATGCTCCATCCGAGAGATGAGAATGTCCTCCAGCTTGCTGATGTCCTTCTCCAGAGACGGCTGCTGCACTGCCATCTGCTGAAGCTGCTGCTGCTCTCGCTGCTGACGGTGGAGCTGAAGCTGGATCTCTCGCTGGTGGCTCAGCTCCTGCTGCATCTGCTGCATTATCTCCTGCTGTTGCTGCAGCTGCTGTGTCAAGCTGGCAATGTTGGCATCCAACTATGCGAACAAAAAGGAAAGACGTTAATTAAAGCCATAACAGTCGACCCTAGTCAAGACAACCAGCCATTGTCGAGGAGAAAAGTGGTCACTTTAGACAGCAAGTGGTCCTCTTGGACAGTGTCATTAAAAATATGAAATAAAGAAAACTGCAAAAGGGGAAATAGGAAGTAGTTAATTGTACAAGGAGTTGTTAAAGCAGGTGCGATGGTATATTTCCATTATGAAAAAGATATCTAATTTTGCTCATTACATGAACCTGACAACTCAAAATGTACAAAATTAAATAAAACCATTAATAAAAACACAAATGAGCCATTTGATCTCCTCCCACCCCCACGTTTTCTTACAGAAACAGTTTAGCAGAGGAGGCCATGTGTGTGAAACCTTCACTTTCATGCATGTTTCATATTGGATTTTAAAAACACTTGCATCTTATCCACCCAATACTCAACAGAACTGCACTTGGAAACCTCTTACATTACACAGCACTAGACAACATCCTTACTTTGAATGCTTTGCATTCTAATATGTGAGGCAGGGTGGTGGAATCAGGCTCTCGTCAAAATAATCAAAGTGAAGAAACTTGCAGTTTCTCGTAGGTTTGTGAATTTTTATCAAATTTGTGTTTTTTTTCTCTACACCTTTCATGCCTATTAATGAACACATTTCTGTGTGGACTTTTCTGAAAAACGTTGATTAAAGGCACCAAAAATGTAAATTTTCAGTTACCACAGACTCTTAGGCTAAGGAAATAACTAATCTTTGGTGGCCATTTTCTCAATAATTTTACCTCTGAAAACAGGTGACCCTCACCTCTCTTTTTCGTAAATATCTCGACTTATATTCAAGATAATTGGATATTTTTTTCAAGTAATACCAAAAACTCTAAATGCCCAAAAATTGACGAGAGCCTGATTCCACCACGCTGCCTCACATATATGTGTATCTGTGTGAGTTAGTGTGTGTGGAGAAAGTCAGGAGGCATGCACAAATCACAATATATATGCAATATATGCTTACGGAATTAACTTTGTCAGTACAGTGGAACTCGGATTCAACCAGATGAGATAGATTCCCCGTTTTTTTTTTCCTTCTTTAAAATCAATAAAAATAACCCGAATTCAACGAGCACTTAAATCAGCGAGCTCGGATTCAACGAGGTCGCTTCCAGGGTGAACAGCCCCCGCAAACGTGGCGTCGCTCATTTTTCTCTCAGAACGAACTTATCTATTCCCGGAAACCATCCATTGCACCTGCATTGTAAATCATTATTCACTTAGCCGATTGCATGCGACCAATCAGCTGCCTTTTTTCATACCAACGCATGTGTTGTTGACATGCGCACGTGTCCATTCTGGCGTGTGTCGGGGTCGGATGGGCAGCCTGCACACATGAGGCTGTTTGTGCGTGTCGGGGGGCACTAGTGGTCAGGGCGTTGAACGTCGCAGATACAAACGCGTAACAGTCTTTTTTCCCCCCTCGGCAACTGATCACTATTACAACGATAAGCTAGTCTTGATGTAGATCTACGTAATGAATTGTGCGCTTGTCTATGGAATTTTAAGTTGCCATATGGTAAGCTCTACACAGCAAAACAACTTTTTGGTAAACAATCGAGATGACTCAGGCCTGTGCATTTGAACGAATCCGGTCTTTTTTTTTAAACAGCTCATAAAATGCAGGCATTTCAGGCACTACATGTACTTGTGACTGTTCTTTATACATTACTTGCTTAGTGCATGTAATTATCTACACAAAACCTCATGTTTGCTATAACGAACACTATGATTCAATAAAATTTTAAGTCAGGCCCGGCGACTTCGTTGAGTCCGAGTTCCACTGTATGTTCAAACTGTCAGAGGCATGACTAAACTTGCTTCATATTCACATCACCCCATAATGTAAAGTAACTGCCATGGTACTTACACTGGTAAGGACACGCATTGAAGCTTGCTCCTTTTCTGGCCTGAAGACAAAGTAAAAATAATTTTAAGAGGAAATCAAAATCTTTACAAGTACTGTCTTTCCATTAATTTCCAAATTTAACCTCTTAAAAGTCCTTTGAACAGGGTTCTGAACCCTTAAATCTAAAACAAGTCTGCGCATTCACATTAAAAGCATTTATGCCATTATGCCAATATGACCAGTGACACAAAGCTGCTATCTTAGACCCATTTCATTATATGAAATCTCAAGCCCAGGTACAAAGTATCACATCACAGCGAAAAAACCCAACAAAAGCAAAAAAACAAAACAAATCTAACCCAGAGGACCAGTATGCTCAGTATCAGCAACCCTTTTCTACTTACCTACAATGTAACCAAAAGAAATATTTAACCTGGACTTTGATTAAGAAAACTTATTTTCCCACCTAGGCAGTACGCAAATATTTCTGCACATATCTTTCATTGTTCGTCAAGTTGATTCTTTAAACCACTCAAAACATTGCTTTTGCCAACAATCTAACCCACCTGTGAGGTCTCTCAGTGAAGCCAGGCATGGCGTTATCATCAGCCTCATCATCACCATCATTCTCATCATCATCGTTTGCTTCATGCTGAATGATCTCCTCTACCTCTGCCTCATCATTATCATCATAATCTGTATCTTTCCCTTCCTCTTCTTGAGTGCTGGGTTGTGAAAAAAGTGTTTTACAAATTATTTTCAACCCTTCAATTCTGTGATTGTCAAGAAAAAACAGTAAAAACAAAACAAAAAACCCCTATGTTTAAGAGCAACCTATTTACTATCACCAGCATTGAAACATTCTGAAAAGTAAATATAGCATAGTTGTAGATAATTGACAGTCAGCACAACAACAAAGGGTCTCACTTTGAGAGGAACTCACCACATCATGTCAATAGCAACACCAAAAGCAGTAGAGAACCAGCTGCAATTTACCAAGATAAATCACAAATAAAGGAACACTACCGGAACAAAAAAAAAGGAAGCTTTGAGTCTCACAGATGATTTACTGAACATACATTGGTTAAGATAATTTGGGGGGGG